TCATCCTAAATTGATTGGTGAAACCAAACAATGTTTTTTATTTAGACCAACATAATATACGTACACATAAATGTTTCCAGTCTGACCAACCATTACAACAACCGATAAGATTCTTTATCGATCGATGGTTTAGATAATGTTGACCAGATTAGAGATTAGCCTTGTAACGACGGTTATATTTTTGTATCATGAAAGTGCTTCATCATTTCAGTTCTCTCTTGTTTTAGCAAAGTAGGCTAGTTGCTTATTGTATGGACATTATTTACGTAATGTGCGTTTACTAATTAGTGTATTTATTCCACAATGATTAATGTACCTACACCATAGCTAATGAAATAATGATTGGAGTGAAATAATCTCCCTTCTAATACAAAGGGACAGCTGACAGGTTGTTTGCATGTATCGATCGACATCCCACTCGTTGAATAAGCAATAAATATTTAAATAGACTTGGACTGATTCTGGCAAGCTGTCATAAGCTAACCCACGCACACACTACAAATCACCAAGAACCAAATGAAAGCGTTGCAGTGCAGGTGCAGGTATGGTCTGCAGAATTTCGTTTTTATGACGAACGTAAAGCTTTCTCACAACTATTGTTTGAGCCAAGCAGAAACAAGGCTGTAAAACTAAACATGTCAAAAGCTACACGAGGGTCACAACTTTCGTTACAAATGATACCTATGAGTACTGATAAATGGTTTCGTCTGATGCCTGGACCGCGTGGATTGTTTTTTAGTAAATATTTTCTTTAGATTTGTAAATCTAGCAGTTAAATGCTTAAAATAAAACGAAATTGAAGAAGCCAATTCACATTTCAGTTTGACTAAATTTAATGTTTTCTTTGTGATAAAAAATAGATTGATACAACAACACGTGACTTAATGAAGCATTAAATTTCTGTAAACGGCTGTAAATCATCATCACAAACATATCTAAAATATACCTAGATATTATTAAGATGCTCGTAAAGAATTGTTTGCGAATACATTCCGAATGAAACAGAAACAAGGAAGAGTTCTAAATAGTATTGACCGATTCCAGTGCTGCAGAGTAGGTAGGTTGATATAAATAAAAACAATATACACGCTATCTTTATATACACACATCAAAAGTGTCTAGGGATCAAGCATTTTTATGCGGATTTCTTGAGATTGAGATGTGGCTTTGTAATAAATTTATGATTTTATAAATTTATATGGATCCTTTTTGGTGCATTTCATAATTTGAATCAGGAACTGTGAATCAAATTCGAGTAAAAGATGAAAATCAGCTGTCAATATTTTCCCTATAAAAACATACAACGCATTGAAGACATTATTAGTGCTACTGTTTCCCTACTACTGATTAAAACCAACGTTATTATGGAGCGGCGACGTCATTTAAGCAGGGAAGAAATGCTCAGAGCCGTGGGAATGATAGAAGCTGGTTCCCGGCAACGTACTGTGGCTTTAGCTCTGAATACAAGTCAGAGTGTTATCAGTCGACTTTGGACACGATACCGAAGCACTGGTACCGTGGCTGAGCGCCATGGAGGACGGTATCGCTGCACCACACGGAGACAAGACCGATACATTCAAATCTTAACTCGAAGAGCTCCAACAATAACCGCCATGATGTTAGCCGTGAGGCTTCATCACTCTTCAGGGAACTTAATTAGCGACCAAACAGTCAGAAACCGCTTGCATGAAGTGAACCTTCATTCCCGAAGACCGCTACGGGTACCACCTATAGCAATGCACAATCGTAGGATTCGATATCAATGGGCTCTTGAACACAGAAATTGGGCAGAAGAACAATGGCGTTTCGTGTGCTTTTCTGATGAGTCTCGTTTTGGTATGAGACCGGATACAAGACGTATACGACACTGGAGAACCCCTGGACGCCAACAGCGATTAAAATCCTGCCAGGAAGTCCATCCTTATAGTGGTGGAACCATCATGGTATGGGCGGGTATTTGGATCGGCGGAAGAACTGAGTTGATTTGGATCAGAGGCAACCTCAACGCTCAAATTTATGCTGAGACGATTGTATCAGACGTCATCGTTCCTCTACAAGTGCAAATCGGTCCCTTATTTCAGTTAATGCATGATAATGCACGACCGCACACCGCAAGAGTTGTAAGACAGACTCTCGCCGCAGCTAACATCAATGTCCTGCCCTGGCCTGCTCAGTCGCCAGACTTGAACCCGATTGAGCATGCATGGGATATGCTACAGAGAAGAGCTCTGCCGAATATGGAGGGTATCCAGTCGCAAGAAGACCTTTTTTTGTTGTTGCAACGAACATGGGCGGCCATTCCACAGCGTGATTTGGATGAACTCATTTTGAGTATGCCAAACCGATGTTCTTGTGTTGTTAGTGTTCGCGGTAGAAATACGGATTATTAATTGTTTAAGTTACCCAATAAAATTTTAGAGAAAACTGTTATTTCAGTCTTTTTTTCGAACTTTTGTGTTAGTGGTTCAAATGTCAAAAATCCCTTTATTAGGAAAATGGCAAATTTCTTTATTAATGCAAAGGTGACTTGGTTTATCGTTACTGTGACAAACGAAAACACTTTATTTGATGAATCCTTAAAGAAAATTTTAATTAATATCAATCAGGAGAAAAGTTATTGCAAAAATATATGTTGATCCCTAGACACTTTTGATGTGTGTATTATGAATTGTGAGTTTCGCACGAACGCACAGTCACAACTCACCCACTCATAATGAATTTATGTGTACGTGCCTGTAAAAGTGTTCAGGCGCGTAAACCCAATTCTGGCCGTTATAAAAAACAACAATACATTTTCACAGTTCGTGTAACTTTTAGAACTGCTTATTCATTGCGTAACCAACGTGATATTTTGGGATTTCGACTTGTTTCCCATAGAAAATTTCTGTACAAACTTGGACTGATTTTTTCATTTCAATATCCATCATTCTGAGTCGATCTTAACATTAATTTGAGTTATCCTTACTTCAGGGAGTAAAACAGAATTCTTAAATAGTTAAATATAGCTATTAAGCTTAAACAAAAATATCATAAAATGTTCTTATCCGAAAATCATTTCAAAATTGTACAAGTTGTACATTGTACAGTTCTAAATCATAATGGCTAAATAACATTTGGTCGTTAGCCCCTATTCGGGCGCACGAAAGACATTACTCGAATTCGGGCACCCGAAGCAATGTTTACACTGATACGGACTAGAAGACGGTGCCGGGTAACCATAACGAAAACCACCCGAATACGGGCGTAGTCGACTTCGCTCATTTACACTTTGTCGTTTACCCGAATTCCATTGGCACTCATTTCGGGCTAAAGCCCAATAAAGTGCTACTAACACTAGATTCGTCCAGATTAATAAAACAAATACAAGAGATAAAGTAAACTATAACAAGTAGCAAAAGAAGATGGTGATATTAGGGTAAATAAACCTAACAGAGACAGGTTAGGAAGTAATTGGATCTGCTGACCATCGATCATGACCGCTAATGACACGTGCGCCCACGCATCTCAAGCGTAACATCACGCGCCCCTATTTGCCTTATTTGGTTCCATGAAGGAGTTTATAATTAAATACATTCACATTGCTTCAATTTGCACTTTTTACTAATTCGCTTATACGCTTTGCTCTGTTCAATATGATTATTTTATGCAAACACTAGCTAACCCAGCGACCTTTGAAGCGCTATAAAATAGGGGTTGGTCTAAGAAGGATAAAAATTTAGGGTTGTGTGTACTTTTTGAGCAAAATTTTAAAAATTGACAAAATAAAATTTCAGGGTTGACTCATCACTTAGGGATATGAAAATAATTTACATGCTATTCTAATAATTACTATATATACACAAAATTTCATTAGAATCGGTGAAACCGTATCGGAGGAGATTTGTTACAAACACTGTGACACGAGAATTTTATATATTAGAAAAATAATTCGTTATTCGAATATTAAGTGAATTATCATTTTAATAGTATACCTACATATATTCAAAACTCATAGTGATCTTATCGCTTATAACGTAATCATTCTAAATCTCATTGCCAAACCCCCATTATCTACTTAGCATAGCGTTGCGTTGCATTTAAATTATCTCTTTACTTGATGTTCTGTTATGGCTATAGGCGATACACAGCAATTATATTTTCTTAACCACGCCTCCGCTTTAACTCTGTGGGAGTACTTACGTATAGAATCATGAGTGAAATGGTTACAATTATTGAATGAATCTGCGATGCTATAAATTATTGCAGAGGTTATTCATCTACGACAGGTGATGTTACATAAGTAGGACGATAGTTATCTTTAATGGTTCTTAAATAAAATAAAATGAATACACTTCTAATGGTATGCCTCTAAATCAAGTTTAAAAGACAAATCTAATCGCGCGATTACACTTGGTTGTTGGCCCTAATATGAATGCAATGGAATTCGGGTAAGTGACTAAGTGTAAATGAACGGAGTCGAGTTCCCAAAGCGTATTCGGGTAATTTCGTTTTGGTTACCCGGCACCGTCTTCTAGCCCATATTCCAGTGTAAATATTGATTCGGGTACCCGAATTCGAGTAATGTCTTTCGTGCACCCGAATACGAGTTATTGGTTAATAATTCAATGTTTTCGATTTTCTAAACTTCTAAAATTTTACACACACCCACAGAAATATAAATGTATTTATTTTTGTATTTCTATTCTACCTTAACATATGACGTACACAGTCTACAAGGCATGTTTACTGTTTGTCAAGCAAACGGCCTTTAACAAGCTTTGAGAATTACCAGTAATATTAATATTATTTGAAATAATTATTAGTGTCTATTCTGGCATGATTCGCTAAAGTAAAAAATAAATTTAGCATCATTTTCTCCTTTTCATTCTATTTATAGAATGACAAGGATACTCTGTTGTCAATTTTAATGTTAAGTTTAGAGAATCATGCTAGAATCAACAATTTTATTATTATGGACGAAGGTGTTATCAATTCGATAAATCCTTTAATGAAAAACTTACCACATTGATCTTGCCGAGAATATGACCTATTTGATCCTTGCTGCACATTTTACTGTATCGTTGCTCTTCGTATGTTAATCACATCTTAACTGTTCGCACTTAAGTTGGTTAAATTTGCTTCTTCTTGAGACCCAATATCAACCAGCTATAATGTAACGTTATTCATAATCTTAATAGACTTTAACAATATTTGGAACTGGAAAGAACCTACATACTAATATTTTAGGTACTTAAAAATCTTTCTAAGGTTTTAAAACAATGTAACTTGAGCCTGAATCTATTTAAGCTGTAAGTTCCCGTTAAGCAAAGTTACCCATGGATAGAATTTCACATAAGGCTTACGATACCCACACAAATGGTTGCCCCGCTAAATCCGTATTAATTAGCACCTCACTAATTGGATATCAACAAGGTAATCGACCGGTGGACTGAAATTTAGTCATTAAAACTATTTTAAACCGTTATTGTGACTTCGGCCAATTTGTTGATGTTGATAATTTAATATCATAGTAGATAAAAGAACACAATTTTATTGGTGTCGATTCTGACATGATTCTCTTAACTTAAAACTTAATTAGCATGAGTCTCTCCTTTTCCTTCTGATTATAAAATTACGAGGATGCACTGTTGTCAAATTTAATTTTAGGTTTAGATAATCATGCCAAAATCGACATCAATACAATCATAAATAAAAAAAATCGGAAGTGGAGTACTATACGAAAACAAAAATATGCTTTTGGTATAGTTAATGCCTACTAAGGTGCATTACATCTAAAAGTATTGAGAAAGTGAACAAAGAATTATGATCCGACAATATCCGATCAATTATATATTTATCTTGTCACTTTCTATCGTAATCGCATGACATGAGACATCGTAATATTTAATAAGACCTGGGATGTAATCTCGACACTGTGACGAAGCAATTCAACAGTGATTTTTAAAGATTTTTAACTATTAATGTATACTCTATCGCTGTATTCTCAATCTTAATATTAGGTGCTTGAACTTATAATCTCTTATCTATTAGACAAGTCCGTCTGTCTGAGGTGCTGTTTCAGCGGCCAAACCGTAAGAGATAGATAAAGAGAATATTTCAGTTATAAGTTAAGAATAGTCTGATAAGACTACAAACCGGATTTGAGTAACGTAGCACTTCCGGTTTTCGAGAAATCAGGTTTTGGTGAACATTTGGTTCACTGGTTTGCTAGTTTTACTATAAATGCCCACAGAAATATTCACTTTAACCAGATACATATGTGGGAATGGCTTTCTTATTAGATAGTGCCAATATCCAAAACTAAGTACCACTTATAAAGAAAAGTTTTTTCATGATAATCTCCTATTATATTTATAAATATTGTATACAAATTTCTAAACACCAAATGTCAACTTTTATATATCCTTCCGTAAGATATTTACAATTAAAAAAATTTGAGCACAACACAGTTTTAATTCTCACTTCACTCCGTTATCATTAGTAAGGGTTAACTTAAACGCTCGTTGGTCAACTAACTGTTCATAAATAAAATTGGCAAACGTAAATAATAATACAAAGATAATATCAATCGATGTAATCAAGCGGGTAATGCTATAATTAGTAACATAATGAAATTTGCGAAACACTTACAAAACCCTGCTCGTATACGACCACTCGATCAATTTACCAACAATTAATTCAGCATTTGATTCTATTAACAATATAATAAGTTCAGTTTTGTCTTATACACTGATGAAATATCTAATCAAAATAATATTGTCAAACTTAACAGAAAAGGCATTCCATTGTTCTTTAATTGATTACAAACCTACTATCTTGGAGGTCATTAACATTGTATACAAAAATACAAACTAATTCATTTAAATTACCTGTCTAGCTGTCAAATATTTTGAAACCTTCAATAAACTGCTAAATGCTAAACGAGGTTAAGAAGAAAACTCCCTTATTTAAATCGTAAGTGAATTTTTATGAGTGAAATCGGTTCCTACTTTAAATAATATGAAAATCAACCTTTAATATTTCGCATACCAACTTTCTTTTGTTTGAGCCAATAGAATTAAATCCATCGTCTGAAGAACATTGAACATAATGAAGGATCGATATAAACGTACTTTTTGTTAGACTGTCTGCTGTCTTATCCTTATCATAAAGTAAGGAATTTAGGGATAACACATTGTACGCCTTATTGTAAATATAGAAAAAACCTTTGAATTGAGCGGTAAAACCCGCAAAATAGCACTTGAAAAATTCCTTAGATCACATAATTATTTTGGTTTTATTTTGAAAAAGCATTTAATTCGCTTTGAAATATAAACATAACTATGACATTGAAGTAAAACAGACTACAATACTAATTGGAAGTGTCGTTGTGAGTTATTTCTTTTCACAGAACAGAACAAGTGATCCGTTGTGGTTACAGCCAAAGTTCACGGCCGCATTTCGGTTCGTGAGAAATCTGTATTCGCTCAAGACGAGACGAAACGAAATGTGCGTGTTTTAAATCACAATCACGAGAAACTGTTCATGTTTTATTGTAATTAAAACTTATTTAAAATAATTATAAATTCTTCTAAATTTATATCATAGGGATCTTAATACTTAGTTGAAAGAAGCACGGTGCACAGTTGCAAAGTCTCATTCATGTGTGATTCCTCCCGCTCCGGAAGTAAGCTTATTTTCCAACCTATATTCAAACACAGTACAGTTTTTAATGACATTTGATGCATGTCAAAAGGACCTAAGTGTAATTATTCATTCTCTCTAAATAAAACTTAGCTATTTTGACAATTTATAGGGAATTACCGTGCTAATAAGTCAGGAATCAATTGTTCGATATTGCCTAACGAAGAGTGAGCAAGCGTGTAATTCGACAGAATTATTCGATTTGGTATTTGTAAAAAGAACTCATAGATACTGCTGTTAGTTCAACTTTCAATATCATAATCAACATCACTATTGTAAGAATCTACATTTTTACGTCACTAAAGAAAAGCAAATCAATTTCATACTTTTTCAATGCTAATGCCGAAATTTACTTTAAAATATTCAATGATTTCACAGTTACGATATTATTCAGCATATTTAACGTTCCCGGCATGTCTTTCTTAAATATCTGCTTTCATCTGTAGTTTTTTTACGTAATGATGCAATGAAATGTTCAGTTGTGATAACTTCAACAATTTTCTCATATACAACTTTTTATGCTAACTAGTCTATTTGTAAATGATACTTCATATATTTTTATTATGTAAACATTGGCCCCATCTCTTAAAGTGGTAGCTTAGGTAACAGCCAAAACTGACGTCACTAAATATTTAATTATTTTTAGTATACTAGACGAAACAGTTATCAAGAATATCTATTGACGGTAGTGAGTGCATTTAGATAAAATGAAACATTAATAGATTTTAAGGACCTATGGCCACTTCCAATAATCAAACTCCAGTAAAAGGTAGGCCTACTAGAGCTTTGTTGGCAAGATATTTTTATTATTAATACTATAATTTGACGACCTCCGTGGCCGAGTGGTTAGTACGCCGGGTTTCATGGCGTCGCCGACTCGAGAGGTCCCGGGTTCGAATCCCGGTGGGGGCAGATGTTTGTGTGATGAACACGAGCATTTGTACTCTAGTCATGGATGTTTAATATGTATTTCTATATAAATATACTTATATATGTAAAGTATATGTATTCTGTCCGTTACCCTAGTATCCCATAACACAAGCCTTATAGTGCTTACTTTGGGGCTAGGCTAATTGGTGTGAGTGTTGGAAATATATTATTATTTATTTATAATAACAACTGTTGCTAAGTAACGGGACCAGATTATCCTTACCTTTTTACTGGAGGTTGGATATTGAAACTGGCCGCTAGTCATTTCATTAGAATAAAAATTGTTTACTGAATACAGGCGAGTCAATTTAAAGTTCAGCTTCTTTCTAACATTACACGAAATTACATATTACGCATAAAGATTCGAAGAGTTATATACTGAATATGGATATAAGTATTAAATCTTGAAATGATAAAAAAATCGCTTCCTGACATTATTCAACAATCCTATTGTATGACACAAACCTGTCAATCAAGTCGTAAAAACAAACCACAGTAAAGCATGTTATCCAAAACTGACAAATGTCTCCAGTTCATTTCCAATTTTATTATACTTGTCACAAAGTTCCAAATAATTTCAGGAAATGGGGTATTGGTTGTTGTAACCTAATGTGCTAACAACTGCACATGCTTGTTACATATGAGCACTTAATCGTACGTCTAAACTTAATGGAGGGCGTCCAGCGTAAGCGTTATTAGCTAACACTCTTCGCTCCGTTAATTAGCTAAGTTCACTTTCACTTATAACGTACGTTTAAAAACATAGGCGTAGAATCATAAATAAGAAGAGCGATTTGAAACTTTTTGAAGTTGAAAAATGCATGATATATTTATATTGACTTTATTATTACGATATGCCTTAACAACCACACTAAATGAAGCTAAACATTTAGTTTCTCTTTTTCTAAAAATACTATACACAAACACTGGCCTGTCAATTTATAAACACAACAAAAACATCACCCTGGAGTTTTTGGTGGGATTTCATGTGCGTCCTAATTGAAATATTCGCAAAAATGTTCGTAATAGTGGACACGGGTAAAAATTTAATATTCAAATAAAAAAATAACATAATAAAAATAAACATAAGAAAATGAGATTGCGTGAACTTCTGTAATTTAACTAAGACTAAACTCAAGTAAGCAAAGATAAGCATTAAATTTAACTAATGAGCGTTTCAAAACTACAATTTGCAATACCATCAAATTGCACGTATCATATTGTTATTATCGGGCCCACTTAAAATTTACTTAAGTTACGAAAACAAAACCGCAAGGAATGTGTCCCCACGAAACATTTCACCATTCCCCCAATAAAATACTTTTGCAAGAATCAAATCTGCAAGACTGCATTTAGACTGAGAATAAAAGTAATTTGGTAACTATAAATAGTTGTTGAAATAGTAAAAACGATAATGCCAACAGTTTTCTAAAAAAACAATACTTATTAAGAAAAATACAATTCAAAGAATTCGAAATAAAACTAGCATTTGTCAATTTTTTAATAGTTAATGTTTTCGAATCGAAAGTTTTATAAAGAATGTTAGTGGTGGATCCAAAGACGAAAATGATGCTAATCTTCGTTGTTTAATATTGAATAAGTAAATAATAATAAAGGATGAGAGAGTCTCTGATATCCATGTAAAATTAGCCTACTTACACGCTTTGTAGAAGGTGCATGTCGTAACTGCATGCCTTCGCCGAAAGGTTAGCTCGTTGGTGTTAGATAGAATAGAACGTTTCATTTCAAGCAATAGGTATTTACAGTTCTTTGCAGCATTTGAAATATTTTTACAATAAAACCAATATAATTAATGCTTGATCACAAGTTAACTTGACGGAAGGAAAGATTACAAACAGTTTGCTATTAAAGATTAAGTGAAAGAAAAACGACATAAACGAAAATGGATCTGATTAATAAAGGATAAAAAGAGTTTAGATAATCGCGATTACGTACCAATAAAGCCACACAAAAATGTTATACTTAGTTGATAAAGTTGAGAAGAGGTGAAACCTAATTTTCAGCGAGATTTTATAACAGAGTTCAGTGCTATTCAAATGATTCGAGGCAAGACAACCTGGAAACTAATTAAGACTAATTGATGCACCACAACGGTCGATTGATCAAACGATTGTAATTAGATTCAACTTCCTCTCATTAATTCGGGTCAAGTTACAGAGTCAGAGGGTAGGTCACATAAAATTTGATCCAGGTATAGGTACCATTCACCTAAATATTTTGCAACAATTCGAAGAAAATTCTATTGGATTAGAAGTGGAAATTAAAAGAGTGTATGTGCATAAAAATTAAATAGATCAACCGTATCATTATCATACCCGCATGGATAGAACAATCCTAAGCGAAGGTCTCAAGAAGAAGCACTAGAAACACATTAATATAGATAGTCTAGAACACACACACATAAATTGCACTGTGATAAAGTATTTATCGGGGCTGTGACACCCGGTTATAGTAAGGTTTCAACTTTTTTTGTCGGTTAGTTGAGTGATCGTGCGCGGCATGCGTTTCGCGGCATCTGGCGGTTGCGTATCGGCGCGTGCTTCGAGCAAGATCGGCAGCAGGTGACTGGTGCGCGCGCCTCCACAATCGAAGGTGGAATCGCCACCGCCGCCGGTGCCATTTCCGAACCGCGCCGCCACTGAACCGAAGTAGGTAGCGATGTCACGCAGACCCAGAGAAAATAGTCGTAGAAAACAACATTACTTACCGGTGCTGTACGATCATCCTCTATTTTTATTTGCGACCGCCCATTGAATACAAATCGCGTTAACTAACCTGGAACAAAAGAAAAAGTTTTCTGATTTGATATTGTTCAATGAATGTCACCTTTTCATTATCTAGCCACCGAGGCATACATAAATCATGAATGAGCCTTGTATATTAATGTTGTGCTACCATTTCTCAAAACAACAGGACACATTTTTGGTTTAATGAAAAAAATATATGTATTATGTTAATACGTCGTTCTACAAAGTCTCGTTCTATTAAGTAAGGAACGGCATTTAAATACATTTTAAAATTTGTACAGTATAGTACTTTTCCTCAATTTTACATCCTCCGCTGGTAATGATAAACAAGTAGTCTTTTTATTAAAGATAAGATAGCAAGTACAGAGACATTCAATCAAGATAGCGAAGCAGATAAAACAATATTCTCACATCACGTGAAGATCATGGTCAATTTGCATAATATCAATGAACAGAAATAATGACGAACATAAGTGTGTAGAATTCATCTAAATTTCTTTAAAATTTAGATACTAAAAATAATCATATCAAAATAATAATCACAACTAATGTTTACTTTTGGTAAACATTACATACTCCAATATTTACGGTTATGGTTTGAAATATATTGAATGTTGATAGAAATAACAGATACTTAGCAACTCTTAGCACCTATTTTAAAGTGACATGTAAATATTCTTATATATGATGAAACTAAATCCACCAATTTTATAAATTGAAATGAAAAATAAGTTACATATTACGAGTGTATCTCAAAACAAACAAGAATTCTAGTTACGTTGCAATACGATGTGTTGAAATTTTAATATAATGTTCATTCAATTCAGTCGTAAACTGAATTATTGTTACAAACGACATCACTGTGTACCTGTTCGCGAGAACAGATTGGTTTTATTCAATACTGAGTAGTATATTCAAACTGTCATTCAATTCGTATATTTACCATTGCTGATGTCACGGCGTAATAATTTTATCTCGGTTATGTTTCTCATTATTTTACAAAGGATTATTATCATATAAACACGTTTGGTTTGCTATTTAAAAGCAACAGTTCGTTTACCATCTCATTCATTATTTAAACTCTAATGTTAACGAAGGTGACTTCAGGTTTCGACATTTCATACAGTAGTAAAAATTCTAATTGCAGGAACTTGCCATTAATAAAGCTTTCAAGTATGGTAGTAAAACTATTAATAAAGAGTACCTATTCAATCAGCTGTTCTCGCTGCGGTAACATTGTCGGATGTAATCTGAGTACGTACTCTGGCCCTGATTGATTGTATTAGTGTAATGGTACAAGTGAATGACAGCTACTTGATAGTTTTGAATACGAAGGTACTTGATATGAGTACTGTCGACGATTCGATAGTCTCTTGATAGATATTATTTTTATTTTTATTACTCTTGATATTTAGAATATTTTCGTTTTCATCGCTGACATTAATAAAAATAATCAACTAAAAAATGTTGTAATTTCAGGTTTAAAAACTGATAAAGTTGCTAAAAATTTGATTCTATTCCCTTAATAATAATCTTGAACATGGCTACCCCGTACTACCCGAAAGAACAGATAATACGAGGTCCCCAAACTAAGAGTTTATAAAGTTATACATGACAATATATATTCGTTAACTGAGAAAAAAAAAGATAATTCTAAAGTTTCGGACACTATTATTATTATTATTATTATTGAAAGTTAAAACAGGCAGACCCAAAATGTAATGAAATTAAACAAATTATGTCCTAAATACAACCAAAAAGCTATTTTATATAATCGTAAACTAGCTTAGATCAGGTGATTTCGTACCGCTTACAATTATTTAGGAAAGCTATCCGTTGACAAGAAGACAGCTATTACTATAGTTCGCATTTTTCTGGATAAATCTTCTATACATTGAACGTTCAGCAATATAACTCTCATATTTACTGGCAGCAGTCGATCACTGTTTGGCGGAAATCTCTAGACGGTAAAATCATTGCACTTCCGAAACATCTTAATCTATCTATCTACTTCATTCTTCTAACAATATGGCCATTTTTTCAAAAGAAGCAACTGCTACCCCAACTTCAGATTTCACTTGAACATTGGCCAAATTTAATGATATGAAGATTGTCTCCCAGAGTTCTACCGATCTCAACTTAGAATAATAAGCGGAGAAGCAATCAATGGATCTAGCCGACCATAACGACGAACATTTATGTCATTGTATCTTGTTCATATTGATACATATACTGTGCATTCGTCGGTGGGAATAATATTGTCTATAGGCCACCATTAGCTGCATCTTCTTTGGTCTTAATTGCATCACGTTAATATTCTTTAGTTATTCTTTATTATAGTTTCGCTAGGTTCAACCGAATGAAAGTTAGGCGTTCCGTTTCGATTTAGACGTGGCATGGTTATTGGCGTTTTGACGAATTTCCAAACAATAATTATGCATGAAATTCATCAAGCTGACCTTCTTAGTAGTTTCCTCACCTGAGATAAAGACAGTAAAAAAAAGGTAAATTTAAAAAATCAAAAAACCCGACTGCTTAATTATACTTCAAATAAAAACTGAAAAGAAAAAAACAAGTCCAGTAGTCTATAATTCTGTTAATAAGGAACAAAGCTACTTTAACAGTCGGGACCCATTAGATATTCAAGAATACATAATATTTTTCAACAGTGGGTCCCGACTGTTAAAGTAGCTTTGTTCCTTATTAACAGAATTATAGACTACTGGACTTGTTTTTTTCTTTTCAGTTTTTATTTGAAGTATAATTAAGCAGTCGGGTTTTTTGATTTTTTAAATTTACCTTTTTTATTTCACACTTTTTAGTTAGTTAGTATTTTAAGACGGTATATACCGTAGTCTTGTTACTTCAGTAAGGGAATTAATATCGCGGGAATTATTAAGTACCTTAAGACAGTCTAAAAATGAATCTAATGATACCGCATACATATTTTTTTAAAGGGAAATTTAGAAAAAATATTATTATGTCTTTATCCCGTGGGACTTTTAGGATAAAATGTATCCTATGACACTCCCGTAATCAAGACAAATCTAACGATACCTCATACATCAAAATCCATCAAGCCGTTTAGGCTACAGGAGGTCACAAAGGAACAGACATACATACATACTTACATACACTCCCTAAACATTACCCTCCCTCTTTGGCAGTCGGGTAAAAACAGATGATCACTTATTTAAAAGGGGTTATGATTGCTTTCCAATTCTTTGTCCAATATTCTCCAAACGCAGTCAGTCCCTTAGTGGACCCTTACAACTTACTGGGAATAGAGTGGTTTTATTTTTGGAAACCAAAACCAAATGCAGTAAGTATTGAAGTTTTATGTCATGTTGAAAGAAAAACTATGTTAATGATACTTACCATATTACTAATTTTTCTTGTCAAAATTTCTACAAATTCTAATTCTAGTAGTCACTGATTTGGAGTGAATGTCAAACAAATAAGCTTTACGCGTGCGTGTCGGACGGAATAACTAACTGCATTATGAAATATTTCTTGCATTCTTATATTATGTAAAGATAAAGATTGTGATTAATAAACATAACAAAATGAAAAAATGAGACGAGATAAATCTTGAAACTCTGCCGAAAGAAACTTTTTGACATTACGAAATGCGATCGACACACAATAAAACACCCAGACGTAATGTCAGTAGTGACCATTAACTTCGGCCTGAGTGAAAAGATCGCAAATCTGTAGAGTTCCGGCTGATGACCAATAGGTTTACTGCTTAAGATATAGGGTCGACTTTCGTTCGACAGGCCCACGACCCGTCTCGATGATACGAACAGGTGAAACTCGTAATCAACATCGTTGGAACATTACCCGTTGCGTTTATGGGTTAGGTGGAGATTGGATCACAAACCAACGCGCTTCAATTTTCAAAACAACAACTCCTGACGTTTTATGAGGCTTCAAAACGAAAGTTGTATAAAAGACTATTTAAACTTAAGTTTCACATTATCGCACTATCAATTTCTCATAATTGCAGGCGAATGTTCATAAAAATCACTAAGTAAGTACCTACTTTCTTTTAGGTTAAATTGCCTACAAATGATGGTTAGTGGTTCGTAGCAAATTAAAGGAGTACCTATTTAACAGTGGTAAGTCATTATGCTTCGACTAAAGTGCGGGACAGACAGAAAAGACCTAAGATGCAAACGGGGCGCGGACTTAGCGTCCTTTATATACAAAATGTGTAGAAGCGTAGCATCGCATAAACATATAGAAAAGACAAGGCGCAGACACGAAGCTTCTTCATTTCATTTTGTATGAAACTGACAATGTCCGCGCCCGGTCTGCGCCTTAAGTCTTTCTGTCTGTCCCGCGCCCATAGAAGCGTCACGTCGCAAAACATAGAAAAGACAGGGCTTGGACACGACGCTTTTTCTTTTATATGAAACTGACAATGACCACGCCCTATCTGCGTCTTCTGCCTTTTTTGTCTGTCCCGCGCTTATAGAAGCTTCGCTTCGTAAATCTTAGAAAAGACAGGACACAGACAGACCACGTCCTGTCTGCGTTTTAAATCATTTATGTGTGTAAATATATAGAAAAGGGTCAGTTTTATACAAAATAAAGAAACGTCGTGCCCGCGTCCTGTCTTTTTAATAATGATTTGCGACGCGTTTTTTTTTTGTTTCCTCCCAGGCCTGGGAGAGGGTGAGAAATCCTCATGGATACCCTACAGCCGGCTTGTAAGGTTATGCCAGACTCTTACTGACTAAAAAACACCCTTTAATCATGCTTATGGCCAGAAGGGCCTTACAAGCTTCATCTGAAGCGATCATCCCCCGAGAGGGGGATGATGCGG